AGCACGTGGTCAGCACAGCACTCAAAGCCTTTGCAGAAACGGACGTGACTCACAGGGGCATTGACCACGCAGCTGCGTGGAACTCTCGAGAGGGGCTGTCTTGGTATTAATGGTGGGGAAGAGGGAACTCTGGATACTTCCTATGGCATAAATCGGAAATAAACAGTTTGGTTCATTCAGGAAACTATTAGTCGTGTCCTTCTTTCCACCAACAGGGGAGATGGTGGATGCCAGACAAGAGTACAGAGTTCTTTCTGGCTATTTTATGTAATGAGTCAGGAGGACTCAGTAAGGGCCTTGCCTTAGAGTGAGTTGTTGGCCTTTCGGTATTTGCAGCTCTGGTTTATTAGAAATATGAGTTAAATAATCTCTAATAATTGTAAACTCTGCCCGCCCCCCCCTTAAGCTAGAGGCTTTGGTAGGCAGCTGTAGGCCTAATTCCATCTGTGCCTCCTTGGAAAATGGGGAGTGGACGTGGTGGTATTTTGGGGCAGCATCAAGTCAGATAGGCACTTATTCATGCCGAATTAGGGCCCTGAAAAGATGGACGGTTAGGATGGGGATGATTTTTTTCAAGAATCATCCCAGTTCTCCATGGCTTAATCAAGGTGACAAGGATACGTCTTTATTTCTCCACATGAATTGTTCTGCCATAATGGACATTCAATTACTCAGATGTGGGTAGCTTTGAGTCCAGTTTTGCAGGGATATTCCCTTTGTGAGGGTGGGTCAAGAAAAGAAGAATGCGTGTTCTCTGATGCCTGCTACGAGCCAGGGGCTGTGTGGGTGCAGGCTCGCTTAATGCTTAAAATTCCTTCGTAAATGATGAACCGGATGTTCAAAGTGATGGTGTAACTGACTCCAGCATCCAGCAGCTAGGATGATGTGATGGAGTCAGCATTTGAACCCTAAGGCAATAGGCAGTTTTATCATACCACACTATACCTCAATACCTCCGTGTGATCAAGCTTGTATCTCTCCTTATCTTGTAAAAATACTCAGCTAAATAAAGACGTTGAACACCTCGGGAGAGTGGGGGTCGAAAGAAGGAAAGCAGAATGCTTTTGCCCTCCCACCCAGTAAAGCACCGGCCTCGGAACCGAGTTGCAGTCTGTCTTCTTAGCTCCTAACCCTGGGAAATACGCACCGCTGACCCAGGCCTTGCTGAGCCTCCCCGCTCTCCGTCCGTCCTTGGGCCAACTCTTTCTCGTGTCCTTCGGTGACTCCTGCAGACCTTTGTCTCTCTCCAAGCACCTTGTCGATCTCTTCTCAGCAGATCACCTTCCCCCTGAGACCGTGAGCAATGAAAACTCACAGTGCTCTTCCACGAAGAGCTAAATAGCTATCTTCATCCACTTCCGTTCTCGATTCCTTTTCTCCAGGCTCAGAATGGGAGGTTCTCCTCTTAATGTTCAAAACGAATTCTTCCTTCCATGCCCTTGACCCTCCTCCTCCTCCTTGCAGCTCTGGGGTCCTGCTCTGTATATTACTCTCTTTCTTAAATTCTAACTTTTCCTTCCAGTTGCTCCCATCCCCTCAGCCTTTCGCCTTTTGCAGTGCTCACCCATCAGGGGAGCAGATGCTGTGAGGTCGGTAATCATGGGGAGGGGTGTGGTGGAAGGGGCGGACTGTCTCCAAGGGCGTCAACTGCTTCCTCCCCTCCATGACCAATGTAAAACTACTTTCCCCATAATTTTGCTAAGGATTGACCTTGACACTGCCTTTGTCTTAAATTACCCTCAAATTGAAGGGAGATAGCAAATCTCTAGGCACCGATTAAGAACCTTTTAAGGGGGCAAAGTTCAGAGGGAACAAAAGCGTTCTGCAAAAAACCGTAAACAGCAATAGTCCTTTCGGCCTTTTTAATTCAGGATTGCTAATCAGCTCCTTCTCCAAAGATGGAAGGGGTGATGTTTGTGCACATGCTAATCAAACTGTGCCAAAAGTTAGGCTCACAGGAGACTTATCCTCCTGCAAAGTAAATAGGGGCTGTTATTGGTTATCACCTCAACTACAAAGAGTTCTAAGCCGAGTGCTATTGATCCAAGTAAAAGAGATAAAACCTCAAGGACTTAGTGTACATGTTCTTTTGCTTGGGGCAACTTCCGTCTCTCCAATTTCACATTTCACAGCATCACCAAATGAACTATACATGGCCCACGTGAACACAGCTGCCACTGACATTGCCAGTTATAACAGCCTCTGAGAGGCCGAGGGTGAGAAGTAGGTTCAGTATTGGTAGAGAGGGAGCATGGGCTGTGGAGCCAGACAGGCCAATTTCTGCAGATGTCATTATAGTGTCATTGCCTCTTTTTCACTCTGGTGCC